TACCATCAAAGTAAGGACTTCTCTGTACTGGGCGTAAAGGAGAGGCCGATTTTTTAGTAACATATATCCAAAGTTCTAAGAGATAGACGAGATATTAGGTTCCAAAAAGCAATAAATGAACCAGAACGTCCCGCTCATCTGCAATCCCTCCTACGTCAAAACGTATGATGTACTAAGACTATGTTAGTCAGTATCCAAACAGGCGACGAGTGGCATCTATTTTAACTAACTTCATAAACAAAACCGCTTCTGAAAAACCTAGAGTGTTATCTATTTGATATGACCACCTTCATTGATACTCCGTAAGTGTACTCAGAATTGCATGTTTATTTATATCGTGAAAAGTTAATCTAGTAGAACACAGCTCAAGACCCAGACAGGCCCTAAATGTTGCAAATTAGGGAAGTGGTATACAAACCTGTGTTTCTGATTAGAACATCGACAACTTCCAGCAGTTTTTACAAGCAACACATAATTCCTTACCAAGTGAATAGTTAGTATTTTCTTCAACTTTTACGTTAATTGGTTTTGTTTTGCCGCAAATTATCTTTGGTATTGCAGTAAGTGATTCTGAAAAAAAAGTTCAACCTTAATTTTCGACGTAAAATATAGATGTTTCGTCGGAGGCAAAATTTCGGAAAATACTCCGTTCCAGCTATTGAACCATCCCTTGTAATCTTCAGACACTTATCGAGTGAGTTAGAAGCAAGAGAATTAAAGGTCGTACCCGTTCTAGTGAGTATCCGTTTGGTTTCGTTCTAGCGTTAATCAAAAATACTGGTCTTGGAGTTGAAACGGGTCTGGATTCTTGTCGGTTTGTCAGCGTTACGCATTTTAATGAACTTGCTGCTGAAGCCGTCGCATGCCTGCTTCTTTGCTGTAAAAGTCCATCTCGATGGCCCGCATTCACATCATCACCCCTGTACAAATATAAGTATACAAGTCAGTGGCGCAGCTCGTGAATTTAGTCAAGATTTGCCGTAGTAGGTTGCTCTTAAGGGGCCTCGTATCAGAATTGTCTGAGGGGTGGATCCACCAGATTGTAGCAAATCCAAATATTGAGGGTAAATATTGAACAAGTATCGGCCCTTTTCACGACTTTTGGAGATTCGCATTCAAACTAAAAGAATTACTTTCATTCATATATCTCAAATATTATGCGGTGATGTTCAAATTTGGCTGACGTCGTAATTGTATGAGGGAGAAGCGCGAGAACGTACATATGTATGTTAGGAAGAGTGCTCCGATGGCAAACGCGGGAAGCCCCCAGCTGCATCCGTGGTTTCGTCACTCGGGTAGCTAGGCAACGAGGTGCTTCTATCTCTTCCTAATACACGATTTGCATGCTTCTCGCGTTTCTCTCTCACGTAATGCGACGTTTGTTTGTGTCAACTCAAGACGTTCTTTTTTGCTTTTAGGTACTCGCCGTTCATTTTCCCATCAGAAGTGTTTCTGAGACATCACTCGCGCACTTTAATTATTTCAATCTCCGCTCTTCTCTTCGACTTTCAGAGAAAAACTACTCATTTTTCCTTTAAAATATGCTCATTTTTATTTTCAACGCCTACTGTCGACAAAGTATTGTAATCGTGAAAAGTTGGAAAAACGATATATGTTTTTTGGATGTTAAACGACATGCATATCAGGAAAAACCATGTCATTCAGTTATCTAGGTCTGCCCGTTTGCTAATCCTTGGCCCATCTGTAACATGGAAAGTACTGCTGGAATTTCATGTAATTTTCACAAAATGCCAAAAAGCGTCCTGATAATTTTTGAAAAACATTTTAGTGGGTGGTAGACAGTTGTAAGGGGGTTGGGGAAGGTATAACGCAATTTTTTGATGCTAGTCTATTACTACTCTGTCGACCCCGTTAATTTATGGATCCACTAGATATATTTCACACATCATATAATCATATATATAATCATATTTCCCTGCATATTTACACGTAAACTTTATCGGTGGCGCTTGTCGCGCGCTAGTGAATTGAAAATGTTGCATCTTTAGTAGTGTATTCAATGGACATAAAAGCAGGTAGCGGACCGCCCGTTCACGCGATATGCACATACGAGGTGGGCGCGATATTATCTATTTATACCAGGATTCTGCTTGGAGTGTTTTGAACGATGTTTATCGATTTCTTTAGGTAATATTATATAGTATGGTATATATAAGTTCAGATCAAGAGCTTTTATAATCAATTATCAAGCATTGTGACAGTTTTACACAAGAGCTCCAAAGAAATGAGGCTAGCGTGTACGCCCACGCTCATTGCTGCAATCTGAGGGAACTCATTTTCATGAAAGGCCCAAATAGCGCATTAATGTTTCTGACCTTTCTCTATATGGAAAATTGTACTAGAAGTTGTTTCGAATATCACCTGTTTTCTCTCTGTTCTGAAGGCCTCCACTTGTGGACACCTTAGGGCTTAGATATCACAAAAGGTATAATGCCACAGTGAAAAAAATCTGTAAAATTCGTTAAAAAAATCGCTATTCATAAATAAATGTCACGATTAAGTGTCGATCCAGCTACTTCTCATTGATGTCGAGAAATGTTGCTGCATGGGTTCCTATACATATCGTAAATCTCAACTAACAAATTGACAAAATATAAGGGAAAACGTATAAGGAGGG